AATATCTATATATATATATATATATATATATATATATATATATATAAAGTTAAAATTATGTTTACTATTATATATGTTTACTATTATATATGTTTACTTTAATGTAATTCACAAAGAAAGAGATATTCGAATTTCCACCTGAATGTTCTCCGTATGTCATGTTATCCTTGTTCAATGTTTTAAATAATAAAAATAATGATATCTGATGATACTTGAGTGAGAATCTGAACTCTGAACCCAGAACAAAATAATAAGTCATGATGACATGAAAATGGCTTCAAAATTATTACTAAAAGTTTTCAATCAATTACGATTTATTTAAAAAAATTTGTTTGTTTTCATCGGGTTTGAGAAAAATCAGTTTTTAAGTAATTGAATCTTTTAAATCTTATACGTGTGTAAATCCTTAAAGCGATTTTGAAAAAAAAAAATTTTTTTTGAGATAATACACATTTTGTTGCGCGGAACGAATAGAATAGGTATTGAAATGCCAAGTGCATTGTGCTCTTTTCAAGAGATCGGTTTTATTGTCAGGATTTTTAATTAGAATAAGTAGAGAGAACCGAAATGAAGTAAGCTTCGGCTATTATAGTATATATATATATTGGCTATTACACATGCATAATATTTTTGAATTGTTATAACCATTTGGATTAGAAAATCAATTTTAAACTTTAAAGCCGTTTTTCTCAAAATTATGTTTATAACATCATGGAAAACTTTCTTCAAAAATCGGCTTGATTTGAAATTTCGCATAATATTACACTGACACTTTTTTGCATTTCTTAGATCACAATTTGTTTATATTTATCAATTATTTAATCCTTTTTTTATTAAGATAGTACTTGAAAAAATACTGGAAATCAAAACATAATTTTCATTTAGCTTCCATTTTGTTAAATTTCAATGTTTTAATTCAAATGTTAGTTTAGTAAACTATGTATATTTATGTAGAATGAACTGAAAAAGAACGATTAGAATATTTTAATTTTCGCAGGACTGCAGTGAGAAATTTCCTACGATTTTTATGTTATTTTTAATGCGGAAAGAGGAGATTAGACTATTTGCTCCTAATTTTTATAAAAAAGTTTTAGCTTGATCGATATATAATTTATTCATAAACCACTTCTAAAAACCACATTTTTAAGTCTCTGAATAAAGAAAACCTTTAATATCATATTAACGTTATTGTGTCCTGCTTGAATTTTTATTTAGATATACAAGTTTGTTTATTTTCGAACGTTATTTTTATTCCAGAAAAAGAAAGAGATGAAAGAATAAATTTATCGAATATATGTAAAATAGCATATATAGAGGAAAGGTCCCTATTATGAGATATCGATTCATTTTAGGTAAATGTTAGAAATTTATGGGCAGAATTTTAAAAAATAACAGATCATTTTAAAGGGAATTTAATAATTTAAAATAATGTTACGTTGAAATTAAATATAATTCAAATTAAAAATAAAATTTAGTTCAAATTATATATTTTTTTAAATTAAAGGAATGTAAAAAGTGAGCAAATCACAAAGTAAAAAAATTGTTTTTATTATTATACAATAACATTTATACATTAACAATGATTTTCATTGTGACATAGGAACATAGATTATTTACATGTATGAAGTTGGCACCTCATCTTTTGGCACCGCAAGTTTTGATAAGAGTTTCATTGACACCCGCAATAATTGTATAGTTCCTGATAGGTTTTATAAATAGTTTCGATGATTTAGCTAAAAAAAATAACACTTGCGGAAAATTTGCAGTTCTAACTTCCCGTGGCAAGATTCGAAAATTCAATTAAAAACTGAAATTTTATAGTTCTCGATGAATTCTACAGTTCCTGATAGGGTTTAACAATAGTTCCGATTTTTTTGATAAAATTTTGATTCAGATAATAAAATAGCTCTATCAACCATTCCAAATACTACTTCTTTTTTCTGTGATGTAGGATGTGCAGATAAAAAATTCAGGTACCATCCTGAGAAAGTAGATTTGTGATACCAGTCAAATTCTAAGTAATCTTTATTCTTAATAATAGTCACATCCAAAAAATTAATCATGCCTCTCCTCCATTTTTCAATATAAACTGTAACCTAGTGTGAAATGAGTTAAAAACAGTCAAAATGCGTTCTATTGAATCAATTGGAGCTGCCATCACAATATCGTCCACATATCTAATATAAAATAGTAATGCGATTCCCAAAATATCTAGCTGTTTTATTATCTGAATCAAAATTTTATCAAAAAAATATTAGATTAGTAATCAATACTCTCGCAAAGAATGATTACTCAATGGAGTTTATTTTTGACACCATTATCACAAGATTAAAATTTTTATCTTCTAGACGTTCCTGATTGAACAAAGGATCAGAATAAAAATGTAATATATAAATTAACATGCAAAAGATTGTGACGCGTCTTGCGTAGGACAAACTGGTAAAAAATTGAACTCTAGAATTACTGAACATCATAATCACATCAATTGAAATACCAATTCACAATCGGTTATTATGAATCATAATTTGAATTGAATTGAATCATGAGTTTGATTGGGAGAATGTCCAAATTCTGGATCAGGAAGAGATTTTTAATAAACGTCTAATCTCTGAAAAAGCGCACATTCTCATGCAAAAAAATGGATTGAATTTGGTCTGACATTGAAGGATTACATCATGCATATGCAATGCATACTAAATGAATTGACCAATTAAATCACTTCAAAAAATTTATTGTATTTTTCACGTCTTGTACGCATGTAATTTATGACTTTACGTTTATATTTGGAATATTGTAATGTTAGTTAGGATTCAATTTTTTTGTTTTGCGGTATATCCTTTTTCAATTAAAAATAACTGTCCGTTAAACGCGTTTGACTATCCGGAGAAGAAGGTTATAGGTAATGAATATGTATAAAATTGAGATAACTTGTTCAATAATTTATTATTTAATATAAACTTCCAAGTTTTATGGAATTGTTGAACTTCCCGTTTGAGATGAGTTGCTTGGAATAGGTTTTTTTTTATTGACTCAATTTTAATTTTATATATGTCAAATCAGGATCCATTTCAGTTGAAAACCTGTTAGTGACTTACATGTAATAGAAGATTCAATGATTTAGGATTTGAGATTTATGTATTATCGAAGAGGACTTCAAAGAGAATCGAAATGTTCAAAATAAAGAAAATTCCACACAATCGATTAATGATATACATTTTAATCGTTAACACCTTCATCAACCTGTGACTTTGATCTTGTATAAATTGTTTATAATTTTAAGATTTAGAGTCTGTAAAATTTGACATATTTAGGTGATTTATCTGTCCGTTTCAATTTATTCTTATTGATATGTTGCGAGACGAACTGCCTCGTTTGTTTTCGTGCTTTGTTCTCGACCTAAAGCTTCTAGATAATAAATATCTTATTATAGTTGAATCACAAGTAAATGTCGAAAAATAGTCTAAATTACAATATCTCATTAAATAGCATCACATGTACAGATTGACTATATTTAATGATTTTATATTTACGACACTATCTAATAAGATGTATGTTATTATAATTTACATTATATTTTGAAATTCACTTACGAAAAAATAAAACTTTTATTATCTGACTTACAATTAAGGACAATATTAAGATTTAAAGGCTACTGCGCGATTTGCGCACTAAATATTAATATTGTTCTCAATTATTCATATTTTCTGGACTTTCATGGCTGATTTTATTTGTCAAGAAAACATTCAAAACATGCTAAAAAAAAAAATTTGTATATTTCAGTAAATTAAAAACAGATCTAGAGACACTGGTAGGATCTCGGTGCTAAGTTACGAGCAGCGACACTGCTATAGTTATCAAAATAAAGAGTCAGATAATAAACGTTTTATCATTTCGCAAAGCGAAATTCGAGAAAGAAAATTTATGTATGTTTACTTATTTGTTTACAAATAAATAAGTAATAAGGTTACATTCAAATTTTATATAATTTTCAGCCGTCCAAACCTTTCCATCTCCCTTAACACATTCTTACCCGATAATGAGGAATTATAGTTATTTTTCGTTGTTTTTTTTAATAAATAATTTATTTTAATAAATAATTCATTTTAATGCTAATGTCTTTGTTTATGCTCTTTTCTTTAACCATTAGTCATATTTATTTATTGCCTTTCGTATTTCTTTATATATTTCTTTATTCCTAATTGTAGTCAAGTCAACAACTCTGTGTGTTTGTGTGTGTGTGTGTGTGTGTGTGTGTGTGTGTGT